ATGGGACATAAGGACTCACTAAGACGTCCTATAGTCGACGGCCACGTTTCGAGGGACAAGGCAACAGTGTGATCACCGGAGTAATAGGAAGATACCTTAGAAGCTACCCTCATGCCAGGTTCCCGGATCATGAGGACTTACTAAAACATCCTCTACTCGACGATCACCTTTCGAGGCAAGGCAACAGTGAGGCGTACCCTAGGGGTGGTGTGTGATTTGTGTGTCAGATTCATTTATATTTGTCTTGTCATGTCATGGGTGATCTACGCGTTTATTTTTATTTAGACATTCATTCTTGCATGCATTTATTTAACAGTTAAAAAGTGCGAGAAAGGTAAAGTTCTAAACTATTACAAAAGGCGCGGGTCCACATCGCCAAAATTTCCAGAACCCGATTTGACAGAAAATAAAGAAAGTAAAGTAAAAGTGAAGTGCGAAAGATAAATATTTACATGGCTTTGGGAGAGGTACATGAATAATTGAAAGAAAAAGAAATAAATACGCGCATTGAATTAAAATTAGAAACGAGGGCGTTGGACCCCTTTTAACTAAATTAAATTATTAGCAAATTAATTAAATTAAAGAGAAAAGAAATTATTTTGGTTTTTTGTATTTATGAGAATTTAATGAGATTAATTGAAATTAAAATGCTAACCCTAATTCTAATTGTTTTTTAGTTTATTAAGAAAGTATTAAAGTTAAACCTAAATTAACCTAATTATTTACATGCAATTTTAATTTATAAAAATAATAGGAAATATTTAATTATTATGAAAGAAAAGAAAAAAAAGGATAAAAATTATTACAAACCCTAATTCTACCAAGTTTTAAGTTTATTAAAAAGAAAATATTAAGATTAACCCTAGATTAAAACTAATTAATTAATAAAGGTTTTATTTACAAAAAATAATATTAAATAAAAATACTTATTTTTATCTTTTTGTGATTTTTTATTGTTTTTATAGTTTTATGAAAATTAACTAAATTAAAGAATTAAATAAGAATAAGGAATAATGAAAATAAATAAAATAAGAATAGAATAAAAATCAAAACCTTGGGGGGTTTCTGTCCCCAATTGGAGGTGTACTTGGCAATTAGGCCCACTTATTGCAAGGCCCTATCTGACTTTTTGTGCTAGCGCGTGAATGCATTGACTGGGGTGTACGGTGTCCATCAGATCTGGTCCCTTGGTTGAGTGCAATGGGACATGTGGCGTGTTGGATGGAGAGTTGCATGGTAGGCTTTAGCGTTGAAGCTGCATAGAATAACATTGGAAAAATAATATTGGAAAGGGGTGGGGACCTGGGATCGAACCCAGGTCCTGAAGATTACCAACGCCTATGCTTGCCAATCGTGCCACTTGCGCTTTCTGTATATTAAATAACAAATAATCATTATAACATAAAACAACGCGTTAGTGCTTGTTTCCGCGCGAACTTTCAAACGAACCAATCATCGCTTGCCACTGCATCGTCTTCTCCATAGCTTTGTTTTTTTCCTGAAATAAAAAAAGAATGGGCAACGGTTTTGAACCGTTCCCTTATGCATCATTCCAAAAAATAGCGAATAGGCCATATGGCCCCATAAATTAAGCGCGAGGGTAGGTTTCTTTTCGTCCAAGCACGCTTGTTTCAGTGGTCCAGGTCTCGAGTGCTAATTTTCCCTTGACTAAGAAGCCCTAATTTTCCAAGTCTGAAACCCTAAAATATACCAATGGCATCTTTGCATACAGTGTATAAAAACTCAATTAAAATATAGAGTAAGCTTCAGAATTATGAGAGCAACACAAAACATGCATTAGAATTTGAAATCACGCCATGAATGGTAAAACACGATATATGCAAAAAAGTGAAAAAACTTGAATTCTATTCACCAATTCTGGGCGTTATGAATGTGGAAAACGATTCAAATATGTTGCTTGATGTCTCAGGAAGCCAATGGAACAGATATTTTGCCTTGAATCGCCTTGTATCCCTGTTTTCAGTATTGGAGTTTTCTTGAAAAAATTCAAGTTTGCATATGGCTTTTCTGCGCAGCTTGGAGTTCTCTAGGATTAGGTTTGCATTCTATACTTATGTGTGAATGATTAGGTCAAAGAATTTGGTCAAAAAGATCCATGAATTGATGAATCAATATTTGATTTTTATGGCATTAGTTTTCAATCTTTTCATGCATATTTGCCACCAAATCATGTCCAATTACCTTCAATTCTTTCCTAATCTGATTTGCACGAAATCTGGGAGATATTTTATGCACAAAAAGATTCAAAACATTAGGTTTAGTATTTTTTATATATTTTAATTAATTAAATGAATTTCTAGCATTTAAAAATTCAAATAAATAAAATAAAAATGATAAAAACTTCCCCTTGGGCCAAATGGTCGTGCACATGTCTTGGATGATGAATTGTGGAAGAAAAAGAGGCCCATTAGCAATTTTAGGTCATTTGAAGCAATGTTGACTTTTCAAAATATCCAAAAATTTCCCAACTTCCACAAGGCATAACTTGCTCAATTTTTAAGCTTTACTCATGTTCTTGGACATTTTGGAAAGTTCTTTGAGTCCTCTAACCAATGCCTTTGGTCCCATGTCATTTTGATTTACCAATCTCAAGTTATGGCCTTTTACTTAAAGTCCCTTTTTGTTGACTTTTGAAAATGACCTATAATGTTGAAATTGATAACTTTTTGTGAGAGCATTTCTTGGACTTGAAGTATGAAGAGGAGTTGTAGGAAATGTCTTTCTCTTCAAAATGAGCTTTGGATGGAATTTTTCTGATAATCCATGTGAAAGTTATGCCCTGGTCAATTTACAGTTGACTTTTTCAACTGTCCAAATATGGCAACTTTTGCATCTTGATGATTTTTGAGCCAAGTTTTGAGAATCATGATCAAGCATTGATCAAATGATGTTTGGGGCTTCAAAATGATATGTTGACCAAAAATTTGAACTTTTGACTGTCAAATGACCATTTTGCCCCTACAATTGACTGTAGTGCAATTAGGGTTTTTGACTGTGCAATTTTGTGCTGTAAGTCTTGAAACTTGGTATGAGGATGCTTGACCATATTTATAGGCATGTGAGACTTGATTGGACCCTTGGAAACTTCATTTTCTTAGTCAGAACCAAAACCCTAATTTTGACTGTTAGGAGGCCCTTGAACTGTGCAACCCTTGAGGAGATTTTGAACCTTTGACTTGGCAAATCTTGAGGAATATGGGAGGGAAAATTTTGGGGTACAACAGTTAGCTTTACTTTTTCTACCCTAGCTAACCAACCCAAATATTTTTGATCGTCTTTCGACGAACCTGATCTAAAGGGGCGTGATACTTCAGTAACAAAGTCTAAATTTAAAGGGATTTTTATTAGTTCTTTTTCTTTTTGGGGAAGGTTCTTTTGAACGTCTTGTTCATCATCTTATTTAGTTTTTATAACTACATTAGTCTTTCTAGCAATGAGTTTGGTGGAATGGTGAGTTGGAAAAAACTTTTTTAGTTTAGGTAATTTCTCTATATCAAGGACTGGACCCATAAACCCTAATGTTTTAGAGGCAAGAGTAAAAGGAATTAATACCTGTGAAGAATATATGACTATCTGTTCTTTCTTCAAAGATGGTGTTGGGACGAATTCTCGGTTCCCAATCATTAATGGTGTTGATATTTGAAGAAGGGATTGAGAGGCGGCATTGTCTTTGTTCCGTTTACCCTTTTCAGATTTAGTTTTGCTTTGAGACGCTATTGATGCAGATAAGAAAGATTTCGTTGAGAAAGTTTTGCTGAAGATTTGAGAAAGAAGAAGTTGAAAGTTGAATAAGATTAAAGGAAAAAAAGGAAGAAGAGATTAAAAATTACTTATATGCAAGAAAGTGAACCGTTTTGATGAAAGAGAAAATTAAAAATTCTCAGATTAGTGGGACATGTGTAGCATGATCCTGCATGCTGATGGACAGTTTTGTGAGTTCCAAGACAGGAACTAGTTATTATAGCTAATGATGGAATTTATTGATACCCATGCTGTGATTTGACATTTTAAGATTAAAGATTATCATGAGGATGACGTCAGGATATTTGAAAGATTGACAGCATGTTCAGGGAGTCGAAATTTTGAAGAGGTTGTAAAAAATATGTATTTCTTGTTTCGAAATGGATATTTCTTGGGGTCAATTTGTTAGCTGGAAATTTCGACTAAGGGTTTTCTAAGTTAAACTCGAATGTACCTAAGAATATTCCACTATTTTATTTATGCGAAGACATAAAGGTTGAGATTCGAATTGGGTAAAATTCGTTGGAAAAGCTTACCAATTCGAATTATTGAACAAAAATTGTATTCGAAATGTGGTTAAGGTTTCAAACATGTTTGAATATCTTCAGAGATTGGCGCTCAGGATAAGAAGGAGATTCAAATTCAAATGATTTGGTTTTATCTGAAAGGACGCGTGGAAGGCTCTAAATTCGTCGAAGTCATGCAAACAGAAGCTTGGCATTGATTCGTGTAGAAGACCGTTAGGGTCGAAGTAGTATACATATTGGCCTTAGTATTCCGATAGAAGTGTGTGAACATCTTTGTACAAATTACTCAGAAATTACTCAAAGTACCAAGTGTTAAAGAGAAACGAGTTTATTGAGGATGTACGTATGATACACCCATTTAATATAAATGCATTTACTTTCTGCAGAATTTCCAGTAACATTTACTTAAGTCTTTTACCATTTCAAGTTTAGAAGTAATTTTACTTTCACTTTATATGCATTTTAATTCGACATTTGAAGCCATTTGTCTTCATATACAAAACATGTTAAATACAATAATCAAGTTAAAAGATTAATAAAGACACTCGTGTCCTGAGATCAATCTGATCGATTTTGCAAGTAACTGGATCCGTGAAATGATTTGGAAGATCAGCGGTTGTTTACCAAAATTCGAGGGTAAACATCGAGCCTTGTATATTTTTTGAGAAGTACACTCATCTTACTTAATCAGATAAACCCGTTTATTCTTCAATGCTCTCTTACACTTTGACAGCTTCACTAACTCAAAGGTATTATTCTTGCGAAGTGATTGCATTTCATTCTTGCTGAGATGAAAGCTTCATCATGAAATGTATTATTTGTAGTAGTGACAATCTCTCCTAATGCAACTTAGAGACAATCAACAAAAACACACCATACAACACAACAGAATTTTAGGGTGGAAAAATCTACGTTAACTAGGAGTAAAATACCATGGGACCCATATGCCACTTAATATCTATACTATAATCAACAATTGGTACAAGAAAAATTCTCTCAAACACTAGTTAGAAGCATACATAAACATCATCAAGATCTAGAATCAATCTTGGAATACAAAAAGAATCAAAAGAGACAAAACAACCCAAAAACACAAAGAAATTCGCACCTCAAAGATGGACTCGACATACTGACTTAGAAAGGTCATAATCCAATCTCCATCATTCGGAATATACTCCTATAAGTCATGAACATCGTGACAAAATTTCAAGGCGATTTGGCAGTTGAATTATGCACAAACTCTGATTTCGTGGGACTAATCTGTGCTGAAATGGGGTTGCGGGATTTTCACTCTTTTCTCTACTTTTCTTTTTGTTGTTTCTCGCACAATGAATAATTGACCTAATTCTCTTTGTTGGATAATAACAAAAGCTTACACACACATGAGTCATTAACTTACATCCGTTTAGGCCACTCCAAATAGGAGGAATGACCCAAGAGGTGGTTTGTGGATTCTTCCTCTAGTTCAAGTCTACTACTTCTGCGGTATTAAAATCCGCTTCAATCGATTGTGATTGATTTCAGACATTTTAACCAGAAATGATTATATTTACTTACCACAGTTTGTGCTTAAGTTGTTAGTTAATAAATTTTTTTATCATATCGACGACTGAGTTCATTCACCGCTCTTATAATCTAAGTTTAATAACTATTAATTCATATATCATATTTTTTTTGCAATTTGATTCACGCCGTAAATGATTTGCTGGATTATATACATGATGTATGGATGTCTATTTTTAATTCAGATTTTTTTAATCTTTTATTTTATTGGGTCAAAATCTATGTCCTCCATTATCTTGTAAGGTTCTCTTTTGTATTTTATTGGATTTCAAATTTATATTAAAAAAACTCAAAAAAAAAATAAAAAAACAATATATTAAATTTATCTAATTAGTCTCTTAAGTCTCTCTTCACTTTCTTTCTTATTTTTTAATATTTATTTTAATGTAGCATAAAAAGAGAAAAAGACTGACTTTGTAGTTTCGTTCACGTTCTCGTTCTTCCCGGAGAAGTTTCGTTCGGTCGCCGGCACCTTCATCAAAAACTCGCCTTGTCCTTCTTCCCCTGCTACAGTAAGTTATACAAATCATTTTCAGTGTGATTTTTTTTTTAAGAATTCAATATGAAACAAAATATAAACTTAACTACAAATTTCCTTTTCCCCTGATTTATCAATTCATTGTTCATTGTTAATTACCACCAGTAGAGTAGAACTAGGGCATGGGTATTTGCTAAAGCCTTTATGAAAAATGTTTTTTTTAAGCCTATGCATGTTTTGATACTTGCAGGGGGTAAAATGGAGATAACTGAGTGTCTCCAAAATGAAATTGAAGAACCCAAAGATATTTTTCTGGGTCAAATTGTAAGTAGCAAAGATCAAGCTTATGACTTGTATCAAGAGCATGCCTTCAAAATGGGTTTTAGTGTAAGAAAAGGGAGGGAGTTATACCATGATAATGAGAAAAAGAAAACGCGGTTAAAGGAGTTTTATTGTTCCAAACAAGGGTTCAAGAACAATGAACCTGACGGTGAAGTGGCTTATAAAAGACCAGATTCGAGAACAAATTGTTTAGCTATGGTGAGATTTAATGTGACTAAGGAAGGGGTGTGGAAAGTTACCAAGTTGATTTTGGATCACAATCATGAGTTTGTTCCGCTTGGGCAAAGATATTTGTTACGTTCTATGAGAAATTTGTCGAATCTTAGAGAAGATCGCGTAAAGTCCTTGGTGAATGATGCCATTAAAGTTACAAGTATTGGGAGTTATTTAGGTGAAGAAGTTGGTGGATTTAAGAAACACGGTGTCATGTTGAAAGATATGCGGAGTTATGTTTGCATTGAAAAGTTGAAATGTAGTGACGCCAAAGATGCTCAATCTGTGTTGAATCACTTACAAATTAAACAAGCACAAGATTCTTTGTTCTATTACAGTGTACAGCTCGACCAAGAGTCACGTTTGACCAATGTCTTTTGGAGAGATGGTAAATCTAAAGTTGATTATAGTTGCTTTGGGGATGTTGTGGTTTTCGACACTACTTGTCGTATTAATAAATACAACTTGATTTGTGCTCCCTTTTTTGGTATAAATCATCATCGGCAAAATGTCATGTTTGGTTGTGCTTTGTTATTTGATGAAAGTGAAGTTTCTTTTGCTTGGTTATTCAAGGCGTTTTTGGAGAGTATGGAAAACCAACAACCAAAAACAATATTTACACCTCATGATCCAGCCACGGCTAAAGCGATTGGAGAGGTAATGCCTAATGTATGCCATCGTTTATGTTTATGGCACATTGCTAACAATGCTCCTTCACATTTGGGTTCTCTCGTTTTTGATCAAAAGTTTCAAAATTTATTTAGTAAATGCATGGAAGGTTGCGACTCTGAAGAAGAATTTCAAAGAACTTGGGATGAGATGATGAATGTGTATAAGCTTCAGGATCATCAATGGTTGAGCAATATGTATGAAATTCGCCATAAATGGAGCATTGCTTACAGCAAGTGTGTATTCTCTGCTGGTATCAAGTCTTGCCAAAGGATTGAGAGTACGAATAGTGTGTTAGGTGAGATTGTAGGGAAAACAACAACTCTCGCACAATTTTTAGTGGCATTTGAGAAGATGTTGAAAAAGTGGCGCCACTTAGAGGTTGAGGAGGAATTCAAAAATAACCAAAGTACACCTCCTCTTGTAATAAACATCAGTGAAACATTACGGCATGCATCTACGGTATATACTCATAAAACCTTTAATCTTTTTCTGAATGAGTACCTGGAAGGGACAGGTGGAAGCACTTCTATAGAGATTGGTCACTCCGATAGTGTGTCATATCATGAAGTCATGTTGAACCATATGCCTGATAAAAAATATGCGGTGACATTTGACTCTTCCAACATGAAGATTAGTTGTAGTTGCCACAAGTTTGATTCCATGGGCATTCTTTGTAGTCATGCTTTGCGGATTTATAACATTAAAGGTATTTTAAGAATACCTTACCAATACTTCTTACAAAGATGGTCAAAAAATGCAAGATCGGTAATTTATGAGCACATAAATAGGGGCATGGGAGAAGATTCTACCTCCAATTCAGTGATTAATGTTGATGATGCTGGTATTCGATATCGCAATGCTATTTTGAAGTCATTCTACTCTCTAGTTTTGGAAAGTCAAGACAATAAAGAAGCTCAAAAACTTATGTGGAAATTACTTGATATTGGAGTTGAGAGAGTGCAAAAGTGTGTTGGCAAGGTCAATTTAAATTCCAATGAAGAAGCGATGGAGAAAAATTTCAACGAAATCGAGGAAATATGCTGCACACCGATGGTCTGAATTAATATACTGTAACAGAGAAGGCGGTTAATTTGTGTATGAATTAGCAAACCATTGTTCTGAATTGATATATTGTAACCAAGAGGGCTTAATTCGTTTATGGATGAGCAAATCAATGTTCTGAATTGCATGGACGAACCTCCTAGAGTTGTTGATGCTTCTTTGAATTCGCTTCCACGTGTTGATATGTTGTAATTTTTATTGTTCTAATATTACTTTACAATTATATTTGACCCAACGGTACTTTTTATAGCATTTGATAGGACCATCTGTTCACCGTGGTTTCCGGTGAACAACCGCTGATCTTCCAAAAATGATAATTTTTTGGTTACTCGCAGGATCGATCAGTTTGATCCTAGGACATATGTTAGTTTTTGATGTTGTTTGGACATAAACGTTAATGTGGGTGAAGAACTCAAATTCGACTGGGAAAGGGATGAGTTTGAGTGCAAAAAGTAAATAGAAAGAAGGGGTTGAGGAGAGGTTAGGTGCAGGAATTTGGGTAAAAGTGCAGATAAAGTGCAAACAAGATAAAGAGGCAAGAAATGTAAAGAGAGAAACGTACATTTTTCAGTATTTTTTCTCACGCAGTGGGTACTTGAATAGTATTGAATAATTTGTACGATCAGTTGAACACACGAAAATCTACATAAACTTCCTATATTTATACTAAAATTAGGTAACCGTCGAGGAGTTGTCTTGTTCCAGGATGAAGACAAGTGTCTTCTGCATGCGCTTCGACCCCTCTTTGCACGCCACGTTGTTTTCCTCAACTGCCAAGCGAACTGTTTTTCCCGCCTTTCTCCAGATTCAAAAATCTTTCGGGGCAGATACGAAGCTTCCTTATGGTCGAAGACCTGACTCATTTTAACTTAGAATTTCTCTAAGTACTTTTCTACTTTATCGAAGCTTTTCCAACTTAGACTTGTTCAATTTATTTTTGGCCCATAAGGCCAACTTGTTATAGGTGTCGAATTTATGACCTAACAAATTGTCCCCTAAGAATATCAGTTTGGATGCAAGGAGAGATGATTATTCTTTGTGCTTTTTGCCTTCTACTAACCCCTGCTGATATTCAGAGTCATCATTACCTTTTCTCAACACGTCGCTGTCAATCAGCCGTTACCATGCTGCCATGATGGCCATTATCCGTACAACCTAGGAAAGTATGGCAAACGTTTTCATTTCTCGTATGGTAATTGCTTTAACGTTCGCCACGTGCCCCATTAACTCTGCAGCATTAAATGGTCTTGGGAAAAACACTCCTTCCTGAACACTATAAATAGACGAATCTTCTTTTGGGAATTCTTTTACAACTCCTAGTATTCTTCACTTCCTTGCAAAGAAAAAACCCTTAACAACTTTGTCTTCTTCGCTCTTTCACTACTACTTTCAGCCATGGCCTTCCTTTCCAATGCACCCAACAACCCAAAAACTAAGAACGTTTCTGATCTTCAAAGACAACCAGAGGTTTTCTCTACTAACCCTGTACCTGTTTCGACTGGGGAACGAAGGGTCGTATTTGAACCCATGGCCAAAGAGTGGCGTAATGCTTATGACTCCCAGTTGCTTATCCATGTTAGGTATTCTAGGAAAATGTATGCTATGTCTGGCCCATTGTCTTCATGTTTCGAGAACCCAAAACAGAATAGAAACTTCTTTCCAACTCATCCTAGGCTCAAGCCTATAGGTTGTGCGAAGAAACTCAGGAATGATCCTGAAGATGTAACTCCTGCCAACCAGCAACATCCTCAAACGAAGGAAGACATCAACCTTCAGTTCATGAACAAGGGCAATGGAATCTTTCAATCTTGTCCTAGTCTTACTTCAGAATACTCAGAATGGCTGAGTAAGATGGAACAAGTACAAGCCCAAATCTGGAAAGATATGGGAATTTATGACTTGATCATGCTATCGAAGACTGGGCTAGCTTATTGCCCTCTCATGCTGGTGGCTTCACTGTATTTCTGGGATATCACCCATTTTACCTTCCATTTGCCTTGTGGAATGGCAACTCCAACTCTCTTCGATATAGCTGCCATTACTGGTCTTCGACCAACGGGTCACTACTTCGATCCTGAGGACCTGTCTGAAGATCCCATCGGGTTTTCGGCCATGAAGCCCACGTATACCGTATTCATCAATCATTTCCACGACAAATCGAGTACCACTGTCTCTGAAGTGGAGCACATAGCTTTTCTGGCTTTGTGGTTATCTCGTTTTGTTTTTTGCACTAAGTCACTTCAAGTGACTAAGAAAATGCTTACTCTTGTAACACAGCTTCACCATGGTTATCCTCTTTGTCTGGCTGAGTTGATTCTAGCCAACCTGTATGAGTCCATCAGCAATGGTGTGACTCAACTTAAGGTTATTGGGGATAAGGAGAGCTCACTTCTTTCCGACCCCTTTTGGCTTCTGAAACTTTGGCTAAACGCCACTTTTGAATCTTTTCTTCTGCAGAAGAATAAGATTAACGAGAGGGCTCCAGAAGTCCTGAATAGAAGGGTCGAAGGGACTAGACTCGTCTTGTTGACTCCAACCGACGAAGATCAACAATTCCAAAAGGTGTTCACCAGCTTTGTAATGATGTTTGCAAAGCGGAGAGAATTTGTTTCGACCATGGCTCCCTTTGCTAGTAGAAAGGTTGGCCCGGAATGGTTTATTCGACCATACCCTTCGTTTGACTAAGATGACTATGCGAATTAATATGCATCTATTTGGGAGTCGTTTCTTCGACCGAGTATCATGCCTCTGAGATTCAAGAGTTCGAAGAATCAACTTAGCTTAATTGCTTATCAACCGAACCTTGTATCTCGACAATTTGGTATTATCCAGTCGCTCCCTTCACCAATCTACTCTCGAGAAAAGCTTATGTTGTTTTACAATGCAGACTACTCAGAGGATGCTGCTACCAGGCATATTGGTAGGTACGTTGGTCGAACCGTACTAACTTTGTTCGACTTAAATCTTAATTTCTTGTGTTCGCCTCTCTTTGAGGACTGGTGGAAGCAGTATTATAACAAAGAATTTTTCGACGAAAAAGACTTCGTTGCTCACCTTCAAGAGGCGTTTTTGCTAGTCTCTGACAAGATAAAAAAGGGTAATCTTCTTTAACCGAATGATTTTATCGTCTTCAATCTAATCATTCGACACCTAATTTATCCTTGTTCATTTTCTAGCGGTCAAGAGGACTGTCACCAAGAAAGTCGTTGAAAGCGCAAAAGGAGGATATCCTTCTATGAAACCTTCACCCAAGGTAAACACTTTTTGCTTGTTATGTATTTATTTCCGACACATTACTTTTGACGCTAATGCTTTCGACTCCTTTCTTTCTGGTCATTTGAAATCAATCTGCAGAAAAGGAAAATTCAAGAAATTGAAATTTCCAGCGATGAAGAGGAGGAATCTCCTCCTGTCCCCTTAAAAAGGCAAAAGTTAAAGAAAGCATCCCCCGTTCCTGAGCCTCGTCCAAAGACCAAGGTCAAGGTTAAATTTATTGGGTCGAGACCTCCTCATGTCACCACCAGAGAACCAACGGAGCAGGAGATAGCTGATAGGCTGAACAATCCTAGTGAGAGCGACAACTCAAGTCCTGGCGCTGAAATTCCACCTAAGGTAGTTACTTTGACTCATCATGATTGTTTGCTGACTTCGACTTCTTTTTCCTTTTTCGATAGTTCTGATAACCATCTTGTAATCTTCAGGACACTACTGATTCTTCAAAGCAGAACCTTGTAGAAGAATTCGTCACCTTGATAAACAGTGAGGGTGATCCTACTTACAGGCCAAAAGGATCTTTTGTGAGTTCTGCTAGCAAAGTGAACCAAACTTCTGGGCACGAAGCCGTTGGGAATCCTAATGAAGAAGTTCCTAGTGAAGGGCATGTGAGTGCTGGGACTCTGAAAGATAATGATGATGGACAGAAGGATGGGGAAGAGGAGGTGGTTGATGATGTGATCGAAAGGAAAACATGCCAGTGGGAGGAAATCGGGCTGAAGATATTCTGGCGACTGATGAGGGAGAAAACCTTACAGGGGGAGCAGGAAACTCTGTGCGTGTTGAAGATGTTCCTGAGCAGATGTTTGTCAAAGCCAATATGGCTCGTGTTGTAAATGAGAGGGTCACTTCGATAAGCTCTGATACTAAGGAAGATTTGGCATTGCTGAAACAACAAAATCCTCTTGGCTACTTGACTGCCATCCTTGAGGGTAGAGAAAGTTATTCTGATCAGAAGAGATTTAATGCTGACCTTAGAGGGAGAACCTACAGCTCCTTCCTTTTTGAAGACTACTTTAAGAGTTGTCGACCTTCTTGCTTCTTTGCCTGACATTGCCAGTGTTATCTTGGATTTGATTTCCATCATCGATCAAGTTTCAGCTGACTACAATCATCGGAGGACTCTTACTCGTGAAATTGAGGAGGCCAATGGCCATGTAGCTGTTGCTGAATCAGCTTTAAAGTTGAAGGAGTTGTCGAAGGTGCAAGAATCTAGGCAGACAGAAGTAGAAGAACTTGATCAAAATACAGCCATTATGAAGGCTCAGATCAGAGAGCTAGAAGCCAAGATTGCTGCCAACGATAAATGAAAGGAAGAACTTCTCATTGTTAGCACTGATTTAGAGAGTCAATAGGAACTCAACAAGGGATTAGCATATGCCGAATGAGCCCAAGCATTGGATGTCAAGATCGAGACTCTTCATCAGTCGAAAGCCCTGTGCGAAAGACGCTTGAAGCTACAGAAGATAAAATACCTCCAAATTAAGGCCAACCTCCCGTTTTGATTTCGACTTTTTGTTGTATGCTTATATATTTTGTAATGACTTTAAGCCATTTTGGCTTTATAATATATTTTCCATTTTGGCTTTTTAACTCGATTAAGATCAAGTATTGGTTATTCTAACCTCTTGAAGTACGGGTCTATACTTTTTAAGTATTTACCATTTACTCTCAAGAGCCTTTGGTCTTCATTTAACTCTGCGACCTCATATGCGCCACCAGAT